GCAGTTGTGGCCAGGAGGGCCTTTGCCCACCTTTGTGTGGTGCGCCAGTTACGCCCTTTCCTGGATCAGGAGGCTCTCTGGTCAGCCACTTACACCCTGGGGATTTCTCAGTTAAGACTACTGCAATGCAGTATCCGGAAGCTACAGCTGGTTCAAAATGCAGCTGTGCGGACAATCTTGGGTGCCCCAAGGATGGCACATATAACACCCAGTTTGCTTCTGGGTCCAGTTCAAGGTGTTTGTTATCACCCTTAAAGCCCTACATGGCATGGGTCCAGGTTACCTGAGGGACTGTCTCACCCCCATCACATCAATCTATCCTACCCAGTCAGGCAGAGAGGGCATGTTGGGGACTCCATCAGCGAGAGAATGTTGGCTGGCCGGATCCAGGAGGAGAGCCTTCTCTGCCGTTGCTCCCACCCTTTGGAATCTTCTCCCCCGAGAGGTGCAGTGGGCCCCTACCCTCCCGGCTTTCTGGAAAGGACTAAGGACCTGCCTCTGCCAGCTTGTGTGGGGTGATAAGAGTTCTAATCAATCCTGGGAGTGGCTGGTACCCTGATGATGCTCCTTGAGCTACTTGCCAATTCCATCAATTCTTGGAATTTATTTATTATTTATTTAAGACTGTTTTTATATTGTATTTTAATTGATTTTATCTTCTCTGTAAACTGCCCAGAGTCACTTTTTAATGAGATGGGCGGTGACAAATTTGATATATAAACGAATAAATAAATAAATGAGTTATATGTATGGAAATCAATAGAATTTCAATAAACATATTTTAAAGAGAAATACTATGAATATGATAGTACTTCTAAATTATTAGCATTAAAATGAAAGGGGAGAAATTTGGCATAAAAGGAAGTTTTGAAGTTATGTAGGATTGTAACTAGTCATTATATACAGTAGCTGTGAATATGATTGTAACCTATTTCTGTAATAATTCTTTGAAAGATGTAACTTTATGGAAAGATAATGAGTCAACTTTTCAAGCAGGACACTAATGACCTAGTACATCCCTGCATTTCAAAGCAGGAGAATTAAATGCCTGCTTAGGAAGTGATAAATTCATTTAAAATTATTTTTAGAAAGTTAGGAGAAAAAATCCAAATAGTTCCTTAAAAAGTACTATACTTTAGAAATTTTAAAGTGATTTGTATAAACTGGAATTTTTTGAAAGTCATTCTTAATAAATTTCAATTTGGTTTTGGATTTTGGTAAATTATAAATCTAATTATTAACCATACATGCAACAATTAAAGTCAATTCTTTAAATTCACAGGAAATATCCTTACCAAGAAGTACTAAACAGCAATGTCCTCTTTCACCAATGCTTTTCTTCTTTTTACTAGTTATGGATACATCAGCAATAGCTTTAAGAAAATTAAAGGAACAGAACTGGAAAGAAAAGAATAATATCTGTTGAATTTATTTGCAGTTTATATTATTCTTATGATGTCTAATCCACTTTAAGTGATTTGGTTTGAAAATATGGTTTTTACTCAAGCCAACAGACCACTTACAGAATCTGAAAATATATTTAATATATATAGTAGAAGGATGTTCCTCAATTTTTTATAAATTCTTAATGTAGGCAAAAATTGAAAATAAAATCTTTGAAGATGACTTGTGGAGGAGGAATATCTAAGAAAAATTGGTATGATAAAGAATGTTCTATTGCTTTGATGGAAAAGTTAACATATACATTGAAATCAGTTGAAGAAAATACTTTTTTTTCTGCATAGTACAATTTTATAAAATACTTTAATAATGGAGATAGTAATCAATCACCACATATGAGAGACTATGGAAAATGTTGTGAACTGAATATATATGTATGTGTGTGTCCTTGTCCTGTAAGATATTAAAGATGTATTGACTCAAGTCTGGAAAACGTTACTATTTGTGTAGCTGTTAATATAAAAGAAAGACATTTCAGAGACACATATTGAATATTAATTAAGCATTAATTATATTTCATTCCCCCATTCTTATGAAGCATCCCATACCAAGAGTCGATTCAGAATGTATATATGGTGGTACCAGAAAATAAGTTTTCTACCAGCGTAAGTTGCTTTGTATTAGTGTGCATCAGGTGGAAACCAAATCCTATGAGAAACTGTTAAAGAATTTGGGTATGTTTAGCCTAAAGAAAAAGATTATAGAACAAGCTGCCTATTATGAATAACAAAATGGATAAAATCTCCAAATACTAGGACATCAATACTAAAAGGAGCAAGTCTAGCTAATGGATTTCACAGGTATCTATGATACAAAGAAACAAAAGAAGAAAATAATTTGAAAGGACATATAATAAGACATTTGTTAAAAATCTGGAATCTTTTAAAAGCAAGAATAAGTCCACCAACTTCACCACTAGCTTCACCATTAAACACCTTTTACTTTAAGGGCAATTACAGTAAAGAGATTTAATTACATATGCCAATATGATATATATGGATTTGTAATAGACATAATAGGAACTGGACAATGAAGGAAGAAACTTACCAGTTAATGTACTTGCAAATAACTGGTAAAATAAAAAGCAATCTCCAAAAAGAAGGAGGGACTTTGCGAAAGATACAGAATTTGAAATGCTTATACAAAACCAAGATAATATATTAGGACTTTTTAAAAATTAATTCTTGAGTATGTTTGGTGTTTTGCTGAAAAAACACATAGGACATATTTAAAAATTGGGACTGGCAATTCTGTCACTAACTGACACGGTTGTAAAGTGAAATATCACATGACTGAGCCTGACTTATGACATCAGTTTGTCAGTTCTGGTTGCAGACATTAAGTGACTCACTACCATGTGATCACCATTTGTGACCTTCACGGCCAGCTTCCAACAAGCAAAATCAATGGAGAAGCTGGCTGTCAGGTGCTGCAGCTCTCAACCCAATAAAAAGAAACCTTCTCTGGAGACTTAGCACTTCCAAAAGAAAATCAGTTTATTGAGGGTTAACATGGAGTCCATAATAGAGTTTGCTGAAACTGAAAAGTCCATGCACAGCAACGTTTTCTTAACCCCTCTTGGTCCTTCTGGTGCCTTCTCCTGCTTTGATGCTGGTATGACCTTGGCATTCTTGAGAACCAGATAACAAGCCATCTGCACTAGCGGCTATTCCCCTAACCCCCCCCCCCCCACTACTATCATGGCAGAACTGAGCAAGCTAGCTAAAACGCTGGTTAATTGATTGCGAGGTTCTGACACTGGCAGGAAGTTGCAAATGGTGATGTGATGTCACACTTAATGACTGCGTGCGACTTGCTTAACAACAACTGGAATTGCCGCAACTGCTGTCACAAATCAGCAGAGTCGTGATGTCGCACTTTATGACCATGTCACTTAGCGACGGAGTTGCCGGTCCCAATTACTGTTAAGTGAGGACTACCTGTAGAACATAATGTTCCTTTCTTTTTTTTTAAACTGTGGTTCTTTTAAACTAATAAATGTAGTAGCCTTTTTTGTTTTATCTTGCTTCTTTTTATTTTCTTTGCATTAAAAAAATGGATTTGAAGGGGAGGAGGGGAGGGGGGAAATTTTCTTAGCCCGGCTTTTGCTATTTCGCCTCTGTATTTTGCTTGCGCTAGGAAGAACTGCTTGAAGGACATGTACACAGAAGACCTTGAGGGGGGAGAGCGCAGGGAAAAGGTTTTGAGGGTAAAGGGGGGACACTGGTTCAAACTGCCTTAAACTGCCTTTTTAGTTGCAATCTATTGTCTTTGCAATGCTATAAAAACTGGGCTTGGAATCTTGTTGGTGTGGAGCCGCCCAGAACTTTCGCTGCCGTGTTTTGGGTTGCTGCCCACCCAGCTGTTCACTCGGCTGATTAAAGAGCGTTTTTCTTTTTAAGAGACTCTGCCTGAATTCCTGGTTTTGGATTTTCTGAGATTCAGGTCTACAAACCTTACAGATTAAAAAGAAACAAAGAAAAATTGAGGTGAGATTTAGCAGTTTTCAAATTAACTGAAGGATTGTCAGATAGATTTGTTCTTTATTGCCCTAGAGATCAGAAGCAATGGTTTAAAATGATAAGAAAGGAAGCTCCGGCTAGACATCAGGAAGAATTTCCTGACTGTATGAGTTCTCAACCAGTAGAATAGCTGCAGTGGCATTGGGATCCCCTTTGATGGTGGTTTTCGAATGCTGGTCATCTGTCAGAGACCTGAAGGTGCTCTACCGCAACGTTTCTCAACCACAGCAACTTGAAGACGTGTGGACTTCAAGTCTCAAAATTCTCCAGCCAGCACTCTGGCTGGGGAATTCTGGGAGATGAAGTCCACATGTCTTCAAGTTGCCAAGATTGAGCAACACCGCTGCTCAATGGACCTTTCGCTGAGCGGAGAGTTCAACTAGAAGATCCTTTCCAACTTTTGATTCTATGCTAGAGATTTGTAACTGCTGGTGATGCTTGAGCCTGCGCATCCAGGTCGAGCAAAGGAGTGTCTGGCATTGTCCTCGTATTTATTCATGCTACTTAAGTTATACGCGTCCGTTTATATTTAAACAATATTGCCGCACTCTGTCGTGTTTTTCTGGCTTTGTTCATGATCTGCTAAGGTTTCTAATTTCCGCTCGTGGATTCCAGCCAGAAACGCTGGGCCAATAGTTCCTATCTACCACAGAGCTACAAACGACGGGGCTGGTACCATCCTCGGGCGTCGCTAGTTGGGTGAGGGGTCGGACGGCCGCGGGGCAAGGGGTCCCTTTCGGCCGCGCTCTTCTCCCTTCTCGTTCCGCTTCTGCTGCTGCTGCTGCTGGCTGGGAGTGGCGGCGGCGGCCGTCCAGGAACCGAGGCTTTGCGTACGGGAAAACCAGCGCCCGGGTCCGGCCCCAATGAGAGGGGAATAGCTCCGACAACCCCCTTGAGAGAGTGGACGGCGCGGCGGCGCG